TCTCAAAAGTGCACCTGGTGGTTTATGGCTTGAAAATGCTGTGTTCCTCTGAGTCATGTAAGTGTGTGTATCTCTTTTCATGTCAGATTGATGAAGAATGGTACGAAAAAAGGGCTTAGAGCAAGTCAGAGTTAATCAGCTGAGTGTTAAGCTGTGTATGAGTTTGCCTAGTGGGCTCCAAACCCACATGGGATGGGATCAGTTATGAAGAAAGAGCAGGAGGCAAAGTTTTGGAACTGCAAGCTCAAAACTAAGGTCCTAAAGTCAGATCATAGCACTTTAATGAACGTGTTTTTACCATGTTTCCCACTCGCCTGAGGAACAGAAAAGACAGGGATAATTGTGCTCCAAAGTTTCATGGGGACTCAGCCCTGCAAATAGGGTTCCTGGGAAAAGCCTTCATTGAAATCCAGGCCTTTTTTGGTGTGGATTTTGAGACACCTACATTTGAAAAGTCAAGTCAACAAACCCGAGCTGTCCAACATCTGAACGCTGCAGGGATGGATATTGGCACTTGGCTCCGGTGGTTTTCAATCTGGGAATTTCATGTATCTCTCACTATCTGTCACCACCATTCCCACTGACCTCCCTGTGCTGGGAGCTCATGGTGTGCAGGCTGCAAACTGATCTTTGCAGCTGGGAGCTGGCAGTGTGGGGCTGGAAAAAGGGCTGAACTGCAGCAAGCACTGAATGTCTGAGCCTTGAATATGGAAAGAAGAGAAATAATATCAAAGGAAATCACATAAGTGGAAAAAGAGCCCCCTGGGGCAGCCCAGGCAGCAGCAGGTCTGTCTTGTTCATGTTTTCAGAGAAGTTAGGGGTCAGCCAAGCTTGATAACGAGGTAATAAAGAAAAATCCATCACTGAGCCTTGGGGGACTTGTAGATGCGGTTCTCATCAGAATAAACGAATTTAGATGCTGTTCGGCAGAAGCAACAAGAACGATTATGGATCACAAACTCAACAGATCATCTGGAAGGGTGTGGGAGCAACGTCGGCGGGGCTGGAGCTGAATTTTCCACAGTTCCCAAGAGCTTCGCCTCCCGGGGCTTTCCCCCGCTAAACCCCTGCGCCGGGAGATGCTCTTTGGGTGGGCACGACCGGTGCCAGGGCAGGAGCACCCTGCGATGCTCCGGGCTCCGTCTTCTGACCTCCGACTACACCAAATAATGCTCTGGGCGGACGGCCAGGGCAAGAGTTTTTCCCTGTGGGGGCAAAAAAAACCAAAGGAAAAAAAAAAAAAAAAAAGAGTGCCCTGGTCCTTGTGGCTAATTTTGCAGCTTTCAGGATCTCCGACCCGGGTGGAGACACTGGGACACCCAGGGGGAAAACCTCAGCCGTGGGGATCCACCTGCTGAAGCCGTCAGAGCAGGGCTCCAAACACCGACCCCACACGCCTGGATCAAACACCTCATTAAGGCAGGCGGGAAGACAGTGAAAATCAATGTAAAGGAGAAAAAAAAAAAAAAAAAAAAAGATCGGTTGATGGCCTTTATTTTTTTTTTCCCCTACTTTTGAGACTTTTTTGAGACTCTCTCCACTCCAGCAGCACTCATCCCCACGCACGTTTGATTCCGCAATTTAACGTGAAATGTTAAGCAGAGTTGGGTTCAAACGGGAAGCGAAGCTGTCTGCAAGGAAATACTGCAGAGAGGAGAGCAGAAAAATTAAAAATCTGCCTAAGGAAAAATGCTTCCCTCCCAGCCTAGCATGCCCGGGCTTAGCGGGGCGATGACAAAGCAATCTTTTCGTGTAGATCAATAGGGTTTTTCTTTCGGGAGACCACATCATTTCTTACCCCGGCGCATATTAAAACGCGCCCGTCGCTCCGTGCGTGGATGCACGGCCGGGAGTGCGTGTGTGTGTGTGCGTGTGTGCACCGTGTCTGGGATCCGACCATCTGGTTTGTTTCAGTCCAGGGTTTCCCTTTTCTAAATCGTCTCGGGACGGGTGTAGTTTAGGTACTTTTTCTCGTTTTAATTTTTTTCTGCAGCCGATCTTGCGTGGCAAAGTCGAGGCTGAGACGGGCTCGGCGAACAGAAGCCGTTCGGAGACGGAGAGAGCGGGATTCATTCACTCTCGTTCCATTGTGGATCATCCCCTACTTTAACCATAATGTGCCTTGAAACAGGCAGAAATCGTGTCGGTGCCGGCTGGCCGGGACACGCTGCTTCTCGAGCTGCGGCGCTCGGGGTGCGCGATGCAGAGCGGCAGAGCCAGGTCCGGGCGGGAGCAGGACACGGCACCGGCCGCATCCCATCAGCAGCGCCTCGGATCAGCCCTTCTCGCCTCCCCCGTACATTTTCGACCTCATCGGGGTCTCCATGACCATGACTATAGCAGCAAGCGGCTCCACCCCCGTTCCCCGTCGCCGGGGGCTCCCCCCGAGGTTTCCCCAGCTCTGCAGAGGGGGAGAGCCGGCAGCCGGGGCAGTGCAGGGTGGGCAGGTAGCAGACACCCACATCTGTTTCACTTCGAGCCGTGCGGGGCCAGCCTGCAGACGGAGCGATCGGGAGGCAGCTGCCCTACAACCCGGGGGCGGCCGAGCATCTTCTCCCCCGGAGCATCCCCCGGGAAGTGTCCCCTGCCCCCGGCCGCTCGTAACGCGTAATTTTGCTGCTCCCCAGCCCTCCCTTTCGCCGCCCTGCAGAGGTACAAGGCGCAACTCCCGGCGGTTCCTCGCTGCCATGAAATTTACCAAGTGGAAATTCAATCGCCCCGTTGTGTGTGTGGTCGAAATCTCTGGCAGCTGCTTCGGAATTTTTTATGACACTTTCGTTTATGTAGGGGAGGCATAACTATTATTTTACTTAATAAAAATGGAAAGCGGCTCGGGTCTTTTCCCTCTCCGCTCTCTTCCATTTGTTCTTCCCATCGCTTTTCCACCGGGCTGATGAACGGAGAGTTTAAACAATGTTGGTAGGAAAGATGCGGCATCTCTGAGGCATTTCTCCGCGTTAGACAATTATATATACTTCTATATATGAAAAATAATATATCGGGAAAAGAAAGACAATGAATATAGGCATAGTTGAATATATATATACACGCAAATTTATGAGAGGGAGATATATATGCGTATGTGTTGTGAGCACAGGTTAGGAACATCGAAGAAGTGTAAAAGTGAAAGCTCAGGAAAACTCCCCAGAGCTGAGACGCGCCCGCGGGACAGACTTCCCACCTTCCCGAGAAACTCTCAGCACGTTTTCCCCTCTACTTTTCCCTTCGGATCGAGAAATTCTTCCCGATGTCCGCGCTGGCGGCGAGGAAGGACGATGCGATCGACTCGCGCAGAGGCTCCGGCTCTGAAATCGCTGCTTGCACTGGAGATGCGCGGACGGAGGCGTCCGCTTCTGCCCTCTCCTCGGGGTCCCACCGAATTCGCCGAGCCTGTGCACCGAGTCGTTAGGGCTTGAGTAATTGTGACCGGCATTTGGAAGCGGGGCCGCGCAGCTGTTTGGCCCGGCTCCCCGGTATTAGTGCTGGAGATTTTATCACCAAATGTTCGCACCTGTTAACGGCAGAGACTGGCAATTCATCACCGCGGATTCTCACACTGCCGAACGCGGCCCTGGCGGGGGGACATCTCCTCGTGGTACCCCCTTGGAGGAGCCCATCCCCTTCCTCCCTCCCCAAGCATCCTCCCACGGGAAAGCAGATACGTGTTTGCAGAGCCACCAAGGGGAAAAAACAAACCGAACCAAAACCTAACAGCGCGAGTGTGGTTCAAAGCGTCCGCGATAGAGACAGGGACAACCTGCTGTCACAGCCACCTACGGGACATGGGCTGGGCAGCTTCAGCCGTGGACGTGTTCCCCGGACTGCGCCAGGGCAGCTGCAAGGGGGGCAGCGGGGCTGTAGCACCCGCGGGGACACTGCGGTGGCTCCCGGGGACCTTGTGTGCCTCTGTTTAGCGGAAAATTCTCCCGCTTCGCCCGCAGCCCGCGACAAGGTGGGTGTCTACTGCCCACACCTCCTCCTGCCAGCCGTCAGGGAAGCGGAGGCAGGAGAGCGGCAGCCAGGAGATCTCGAGGCCGCAGGATATTCCCCTTCCCGAGGGGCTCCTGGGGCCTGGCCGGGCTGCGGGCGGGCCGCCTCGGAAAGTGGTACCCGGCCGGGCCAGCCGCGTCGGGCGGGGATGCAGGACTCGGGTGCGGTCCCAGCAGCCCGCGGACACGCACAGCCTTCTCTTTGGTTCTTTCTCGCGGGGAGAGAGGCTCGGCAGAGCGCTGCTCCTCGCCCTCCGGCCCGCACCTGCCGGGCGCAGCATCCCTTCCGTGGGAGCCCTCGGAGGAGGCGGGTTTCCAGGCAGGGTGCTCCGGCCTCGGTGACGTGTCGGTGACGTAAGCGCGTGGAGAAGGGCACCGGGGATCCCCAAATTCACAGGACCCCTCAAGGGGGCCGAAGGCTCGGTCCCGGCGGAGTGAGGGTCCCTGTCGGCGAGGCTGCGGGAGCTCTGCAGCTCATCCCCCGTCTTCGGGGATGGGCAGCCCTCGGGGGGAGAACGGACCCTCCGCGGACCCCCGAGCCGAGGGAGGCGACCGTCGCATCGCGCAGGAATAGGGTCTGAGAGCCTCCAACACCGCGGGGCGCTTGGGGCGGGGAGGGGCTTTACCCAGCGTCGATCGCCCCCCTCCTACAGCAGCCGGTTCCAGACAAGCTGGGGGCATCCGAGCGCCAGGGGAGCGGGCAGCGCCTTTCCTCGAAAGCATCTCGGGCGGGGGACACGCTCCCTGGGGAGCGGGCCGGGCAGTCCCTCATCGTGCCCCGTGGGGGCTGCGGCGGGCGCCACGTGATGCCGGGGCGGCCGTATAAAGGCCTGGGGAGCGCTGGCAACAGGCGCAGTGTGGGAGCGTTTCCACCGGGTCCCAGCTCGGGAGGGGTGGGGAGGGGGGAGCCGCCTTCCCCACTTCTGCCCTCCCCCCTCCCTCTTCCCCTGCCCCTCCCTTCC